AGTGCCCGCTGCAAGAATGCCAGGAACTTTGACACCGACGTTTGGCATCGTATCTATTGAGACGAGTAAGTCATCTGCAAAGGTGGACTCAGGTGATTAAGCTCACAGTTTCCAATTACCACTGTGTTGACCAGAAGAGTCAACAGAGTGTACTGGTTTTCGGCCGTGTTATTCTTGAGAAGTGCTGTGGTATAGTAGTCGCAAATTGGAGTATCAGCTGGACGCTGAGCGGCGACACTGCTGGCCGCAGCCAGGGCAACTGAAATGATTTTGTAATGCATTTTTGGGTATTGTGATTTTGTTTGACTTTGATACGGAAGAGAGAAGGACTTTGAATGAGCCTCTCCTTACTTGGTACCTGCGATGAGAGCCCTTTTATGATGAAAGGCCTATCAGTTAGAAGCACATAGGCAATCTAACCCCTCTCCAAGCTCCTGCTTCAAGATGCGCATTTTGCCGTTTTCCGGTCAAATGACCTCCGAGGAGACGTTGACAGCCATCATCTCAGATGAAATGATGGTCTCGTCAAGCTTTGGCACTAGCTGTTTGTTCGCTGATCCCAAGCTAGTGAGCACCAGGGACTAGCGCCGGGGCAGCTCCGATCCGTGGGCATCAACGACCAAGTCGGGACAATAGCTTACATTCTTTGAATTAGATCGACTCCTATTGGTAGGAACGACCCATTGGGCTCGGATCAAACATGCCCGGCAGTCCTAAGACAACGACGTGGATACCGGATCGCAGCCAGGCCGTTGACCTAAGTAATGACCCATGTCATCGGTATTCCTACGATTTCTACCTGTACAGGAAGGGATGTGACGAACGTGGTTCAAGAAGAACACGCCCAACGCAGAAGGGTTTTGGAGCTAAGGAACGGAGGGGAATGTTGCCGGCACCTGCTACCATAGCTCCTGGGGAAGCTTGCTGACAGCTGGAAACCGGCTTGGGCTTTTACGGATTGACTTCTTTCCGAGAGACTGTCCGAAGTCATCTGGCTGTCTCACGGGCCTTGGATTCTAGGCTTGGTATATCGAGCGAAGATCAGTTCTCAGCAGTGCAGACTGGTATCTAACGCAATATGGGGAGCCTTTGGCCCTTGAACATTTTACTTGATGGAAATTAGGTCTCCGGCTATCGTATGGCTGCATTCACGCCCCTATTGGAACGGGGTTTAGTGGGCCCACTGGATTTTTTCGGCGTTTTCGGCGTTTAGAGGCCAGATTACTAGCCCCCTCAAGGGGCGAGAAGTTAGCTCAGACATTATCATCCTCACAGAGATGAGAAGCTTAATTCACTCGTTTTTCAGCGGATTTTCGAGCTTTTTATCTCGTTCTTTTTATTTTAGATCTGTAAAGAACGTAAAGAGTCTTTTCCTTTTTCTTTTAAGATCGTAGGCCTTAAAACCGTAGAGTTACGTAGTTAAGGCGGCTCTACGCGCCTTCGGGCGCGTACGCGCTGCTGTGCTGCATAGCTCTCGGCCGCCTGGCCTACGACCATTTCACTATATGATGTGATAGAGAGGTCCAAGCCTTGTCCTCAATGCTCAAAACAAATCAATTAATTGTCTCCCAGATTGCATTCATGACGGCTCAAAGGCTGGGGTGCGGCATATCCTCATTTTGGAACTTGTAAGCCTGTCCTCAATCTGTCTCACTGCCAAAATGGAGACAGCTTCTCGCCGAGGGAGATAAGTAGGTGACCATACGCAATGTGCAGGTATCCTTTTGGACCTTGCTTTACACCATCTGGCCCCTGAAAAGGTTTGAAACCCTTCTGATGACACGCGAACTCATATTCGCTGACTGTGGGCAATCTTCCAACTCCAGGAAAGAAACAGTCGTCTTCAAACACATATGTTGCTCTTTGCCTGAGTAGTCGACTGAAGCCATCGCAATAAAACGCATGACCGTCGGTCCCCGGACCAACACGCCAGAGGTAGTGTTTAGAGGGGTGAAAAGTCAGAGTCTGCATCTGACCGTAAACTTTTCTTCAGCTTCTGTCGAAAATCTTTCCAGAAATGGCTTTAAATAGCGAGACTCAAATCGGAGCATGCTCGTCAAACAGTCAAACCTGCAACTGGCCGTCAAAGATATGAGTAGATCAGTTTTTTGGATCTTGGACAAAACCGTTGGGATTGAGAGACGGTGAATTCTCAAATTCTGGGTAATTGATTCTCAGTTTGGGTCGCAATTCGAGATCGCTAGAGATCAGTTCCCAGTAAAGAGAAATAATGTACTCCCGGACGGATGCGAGGTTCTCGAGATGCTCCACATTTGCTGCACTTTCTTTCTTGTAAATATCCAGAATGCTTCATTTCCAGTGGCAAAGATGGACGTCTATCTTCCGAAACGTGGCTGTATCACATTGGGTAACACCATCAGGGTAGTTAGCCGGCTGCTTGCGTTGGGGTCCGTAGATCTTGCAAATCATCTCATAGCGAACAAAAAATTTGAAAACCTTGCCCATTTCACATTCGGTAAGCTTGCTGATGTCGAACTTCCTTCGTTGCCATGACCATATAAGGCCGTCGGACGAAAAGCCCGGCCACAAAGACTTGGCGGGGACTCTAGGCATCATCCTGTAGGCTTCCGGAAGAGACGGAGCAATTGCTTTGGACAAGAAGTCGTCTGTGAAAAGCCAAATTCGTTGACAGAATGAATCGAGCTTCAGAAGTAGCAAGACGTCCATCTCGTTGAGAGCTCACCGGAAGCCCACCTCTTCAGATGTGCGTGATTGTAGAGTTTTCGATCATACGAGCCAGCGTCGCATCTTGGAAAGAATATAACGGCCAGGGCATCGTCGAGATGTTCCCCATCTAGATTCCGCGACACGAAAGTGCGTATGATTCGTTTCTATCGGCCTTACGCTGCTGAAAAATGGCCGGTGATGCCAGACTAAGCGCCGAGACGTCCTCGGGAGTTTCAATGCTCTCTATGATACGTAGGCGGACCTCCGGTGGACAGTCTTCAAACGCATCCATGGATAAGGTGTCTCCGGTGTTTGGTGTCAATGATGGCATAGGTGCCAGTAGGTTTCGGTGGGTGTTGATTGCGGAGGTTCATGTCGCGGCGAAAAATACGTCTGAGATCCTCGACCCTGTCTTTTATGGAAATTCGACTAGCTATCTCAAGATAGCTGCTGGAGGCGGTGGCGGCTGTTACAACAGAACTTGATAACCTGTCATGAAACTTTGTCGGCAAAGGGGAATATGAGTAGCTTAGTATGGTTCGCGATGTTCCAAAATTTCCGACCCGTATGTACGGCCTCTTCAATGATCAATAATCTTCGTAAGACAGCAGAGACGGCAAGTGTGTCGCGGCACCGAATGACCCACAATACCGCCACGCTCTACTGAAAATTTCAAGCCAGGAAAATGGCATTCATGAGAGCACAAATGCTGTGAGCGGTAAGCACTCGCTCCAGAGAGACCAGGGCAGGTGATCGGCTTCGAGTAGTTCCCAGCACCGCCCATCCCGCCAGTGCTCCGAAACAGCGAATGTACAAGCGCCGAGGCTTCTAAAGCATGAGCCTTACCCAATTCTTGCCGTGGAAGGCGTCGCAGCTATGACCCAATGAGCTGAGCTGCTGCCTGACGATCTCGACAGTGCTGGGGTCTGCGTAAATAACCTGGATTGAGCTTCAACCCTCACCAGTACACCATCATTGAGATTCATGTTCCGAGACAGAGACTGGTACATCGAGTTTTGATTCTGCTGAATGACCTCACGGAGGATGAGAGTTGACATCTACTTAGCGGTCTTCAATCTTGTAAATACCGATAAATGGAAACGAGCTGTCATGCCAAGGGGAACACGGTGTTTTGATCTATGTAAACCCCACCCAATCTTGAACCCGGCAGTCCGGCATGTGGGATTGCCTCGTTGAATTACCAATCGCGAATTCGGAAAGCCATTACGGAGAAATCAATTTGAAAGCTGAGAGCGAGCGGTATTTCTCACACGAAATGCTACTCGTGCTTGAGCGGGTTGAGTAGCAGTTGATGGTCAATTAGGACTAGTCTCGTTGTGATGGTGGTCCCGCCCAGGTGGTGTTGTGAATGCTTCAGGCAGAGGTACCCGAACAGATATGCTTTCTGAACAATCATCCGATGTTCTGGGTTTTCACTGACAGGCACGACAAGAAAGCTTGGAATGTGTGCGATCGGTTCCGAGGCTGACTCTGGTTGAGAAAGCGAAAAGATCATTCTGAAGTGTGTACTAGAGTCGCAAATTTCTTCGTTCAGTGCTTTATTCACTCAATGCCAAGGCGTCATGGGTCGTGATAGGTAAGATAGGATAGGGTTGTCCCCTGCGAATGAACGAAGTCTCGGTGGTTAGGAGGGTTCTGCGCCATTCCCGAGCTTCATCGTTAGCACGGGCTGGCTGCCTCTGAAGACCACGGCCCGATGCACTTGACCCATCATGCATCTCATCCTTCATTGGGTTATCATCTGACAGCTCGGGCAACGTACCCTTTGAGTCGTCGGCAATAAAGACAAGAAGGGGTTCGCTCTCAATAAACACCCCTACGAGAGCAACGTCGCCCCGGCATGGATTTCGATCCTCCAATGACACCACTCGAGTCGTGAAAAAAATTTGATCTTATCAATCTAGGCCCCCGAATCCACATCGCGATCCTTCGAGCCACTAGCGAACCACTCATCCCGTGTTCTCGGCCCCCTCAGACGAACATTGGCCGAGCCTGCCCGAGAACCACGTCGCCGCCCGTCAATCGACGTTACTTCCCATGACCAAGAGCGCTGCACTATGTACTCAAGACCGTATCGGCACGCGTTGTTGCATTGTCCACAGCGTACAACCATGTGTTCGTCCCACCATTCCTGCGGCCCATCTCTTGGCGCCTTTTGTGTTGCTGGGAGGATACAAGAACCCTTGCCTCGCCGCCGTTGCATTCTTCACAGTTGAGTCTTTTGGGCCTACACGTTCCACGACCAGATTCCCGGACTCGCCCATTCAAGCGGCTTGTGGCCTCAAGACAACATGGCTTCCCCAAACGAAGCTGCGAGCTCACCAGAGATTGCTCCTGAGCGTCCCGTCCCAGCCCCGATTGACGACAAGGATCCCGAAATCGTCGATGAGAAGCCCAGTTCCGAAATCGATCCCAACACCGGCGGACTTGCAGGTGTCGAGAAGATTGAGGCCTTGACTCAAACATGGACCAAGCCGTGGCTTGTCGTCGCCTACATCTTGTATGCGCAGTCTGCACAACTCTTCCGGTTGCATTTGCTCACCTCATTCCAGCATCTGGCTTGTCTTCTTCACAGACTCGCTGCAACAACAAATTGCTAGCTCTCTACTGCCTTATGCAGTCAGTGACTTCGGTCTCCATGGCCTTATGGCCGCCACGGGCATCATCTCCAACATCGTGGCAGGAGTCAGCAAGCTACCGCTCGCGCGTATTATCGACGTGATTGGTAGAACGCAAGGCCTCTGTATCATGTTGGTTTGTGTTGTCATCTGTATGAAGCCTCCGTCAAAGTTGCCGGAGACAAGAACTGACATGATCCCGTAGCTTTGATTCTCATGGCAACTTGTAACAACGTCGAAACCTATGCTGCAGGTCAAACGTTCTTCTGGACTGGCATGAATGGTATTGGTTACGTTCTCAACATCTTCATGGCCGATACTTCGACGCTTCGCAACCGAATGATTCTCTTCGGCTTTACATCCACACCCTACGTCTCGAACACCTTTGCCGGGCCTGCAGCTGCCCAAGCTTTCCTTGACGGCAGCACTTGGAGATGGGGATACGGCGCTTTCACAATCATCATTCCGGTTATTTGCGCCCCCCTAATTATCATTTTTACCCTCCAGTTGAACCGAGCCAAGGAACTCGGTCTCTATGTCAAGCCCCAAACAAACCGCACCTTTTGGGAGTCGGTGAAATACTGGTTGATCGAATTTGATGTTGCAGGAATCCTTATCGTAGTTGCTGGGTTCTCGCTGTTCCTGCTGCCATTCAGCATCGCTGGTTATCAGGCACACAAATGGGTTGAGCCTAGGATCATTGCGATGATCGTTGTCGGCGGTCTTCTCTTGATCGCATTCCCATTATATGAGAAGTACCTTGCGCCAAAGACTTTCATTCCTTGGGAGTTATTTCAGAACAGAACAGTCCTGGTCGCCTGCTTGCTCGGAGGGAACATGTGGATCAGCTTCTAGTAAGTCCAAAACTTCTGACGGATCATTAGCATTTCAACTCTAACTTTGCGACAGCTGTTACAAGGTTCAGTTCTCGTCCTATCTGCAGGTCGTCTACGACCTCAGCGTTTCAAGAGCTGGCTTCATCACTAATATCTTCAACATTGTATCTTGTGCTTGGGCGGTTCCGGTTGGCCTGTGAGTGATTGTCGTAATACTCCCGTTAGTTCTGCACTGACATCTCTTGTGTCCAGTCTCATGCGCTTCACCGACCGATACAAGTGGCTTGGACTGGCGGCGATTCCTCTTCAGATGCTTTCTACCGGTTTGATGATCAAGTTCCGTATGCCCGATACTCACGTCGGCCTTGTCATCATGTGCGAGGTTCTCGGCTCTTTCGCCGGTGGCACTATTGTCATGGTCGAGCAGATTGCCATCATGGCTTCCGTTGCTCATCGCGATGTTGCAGTCGGTCTCGCTCTACTGGCTCTCGTCACCAGTGTTGGAGGTGCTATTGGCCAATCTATTAGTGGTGCCATTTGGACCAACTTGATGCCCTCGAAGCTAGAGCGCTACCTTCCCGACGAACTCAAAGACCAGGCCCTCCTCATCTATGGTGATCTTGTCACTCAGCTCAGTTATCCAGTGGGTACTCCCGAGAGAGACGCCATCATTCGTGCGTACGGCGAAACGCAGAAGATCATGATCATCGCATCGTTGGTGGCATTAGTTGGATCGATTATTTGGGTTTCTTTGATGAAGAACCATCGCTTGAGTGACAAGCAGCAGACAAAGGGTGTTCTGTTCTAATCTGGGTCGGGCTGTTCAGCTGCATGCTGTGAAGCTGATATTCAATGAGCGATACTTACATCCTGTTTTTTTTTTTTCAACGACTTGTGTGAGAGGTATGAAATCATGCAGAGAATCTGAGCTACGTGACGGGCTTGTCCTAAGGCATACGCCCAGTGGTCCATGGTATTGGATCCGAAACGACGACTTCAAGCTGGCATGACACAGTCTCACAGGAAGAGACCAATCTTCCACGCAAAGACATTGTGGTCAATGCCCTTCCGCTGGCCGTTTGTGCTGAGGTTTGCTTTCAGCGAATGTCACCCAAACATAGTTTTGACTTTAGCAAGTCATCCCAGCCATATAGATTGTCAAGTAGGATAGTACTGACTCCAAAAACACTAGATGCCAGTAAGAACATGGCAGAACCACCGCTACACCCCATTTAAAACATATCTAAGCCTCTCACAGCCCAATCGCAGCCTGAAGCCAACACCACCGTGTTTCCGCCAAGGCTGGTGATACCGAAACCCTGGGACCTTGCCGAATCCGAGGCAATGTGCGGAGGGATCCGGGGCTGGTGTGGGGTCGGAAGACGGAAGACGGAGCTCGGAAGGGCAAAAAATGCCCAATCAGTTCGGTGATCGACTCACTGACGAAGCCACGAGGGCTAAGAACTGCTTGAAACGGAACCTCGCATGTATGTGCCGCTGCTAGCGAGCCGGGCATGCCAGCCGAGTGTGTCTAGGGTCCGATATTCGTTGTTCGTTGGTAGGCTCTTGAGTGATGTTTTTGGCTGGGACTCCGGGGCAAAGCCGTGTGAGATTCAATCCCGGCCCACCACCGGAGCCGTCACAACCAATCTGCGTCTACGAAATTCCACTCGGTGTATTCAGGTTGGTTGTGGCCTCCGCAAAAGAACCTACAGGCCTCTTCCCCGCCCCCAGCCTCCGAGTCATGTCTTCTCCAGGTCCATGTTGTGCCAAAGACGGTAGTCTTTGGCATTCTGGCACTCGGGAGATGTCACCTCCACGTGGAAACTGCGGAGGGCGGGGAGCGCTCTCCATTCACCCACGGGGAGAGCTGGCAAGCCCCTGAACTTGGTTCACGCGATGATAGTTTCCCCAGAGTATAAGACTTTGGGCGATCCCACCGGATCCTGGAGCTTTGGACAGTCGAGGTCCCTAGAGCACGATACTCGCTTGTCTTTGCAACGAGGTCCGTTCCACTAATCCAAGCCTTTAGTACCGAGTATTCGTGGCCCAGCATGGCGGACACGAAGGCCGAACCCACGGTCCAACATGAAGACAAGCAGCGTTCCGAACAGCTTGAGGACGTGAATGTCGCAGCTGCGGCCGCGCTTCCAACAACTGCGGTCAACGACAAGCTCACATTCGCTGATTTCTGGGACAACAAGCGCGTTTTGGGTTTCTGTCAGTTCATCCGATTCACCTTGTAATTTGACCATCACACACTAACCTGACCAACTGACAGGTTTGATGATTTACCTTCTGCCGATTAATTTCGGATATGAAGTCACCACGATCGGGAAATTGCTCGCAGTCACACCCTTTGCTAAAAGATTTGGTCACGAAGTCGGCGGAAAATGGGTTGTCGCAGCCCGCGACCAACAAATTCTCAACGCCGGCGGTACAATCGGTATTTTCGTCTCGGCATTCGCAACAGGCATCGTCAGCGACTTCATCGGCCGCAAGCGAACCATCATCATCGCCTGCTTCATCTGCGTGGGTGGTATCATCCTCCAATACTTCAGCACGACCGTTCTCATGTTGTTCGGCGGCAAGACCGTTGCCACTTTCGGATTCGGTCTGGGCCATTCGCTAGGCCCGGTGTTTGTTGCTGAGCTGGCCCCGGTCAAGATGCGTGGTGTGTGCCTCGTGTTGGTCAACACGATGATCACTATCGGCCAGTGGCTCAACTCAGTGACGGTGCTGGGGAGTGATCACTACAACAACGACTTGTCATGGAGAATCCCTCTCATCACCCAGCTTATCCCCCCGGCCTGCTTCTCCTTGGTCTTCCTTTCCTTCCGGAGTCCCCGAGTTGGCTCCTCATCAAGGGCCGCCGGGAGGAGGCAGCCAACTCATACCGACGATTCAACGGACCCAAGTTTGATGTTGATGGGGCTATGGCTGTAGCAACAGTTGCCATTGCCAAAGAGCAGGAGGCCAAGAAGGAGCAAGAGTCCAGCCGCTGGCTTGATTGCTTCAAGGGCTCGAACGGGCGCCGCACTCTCATCATTGTCATGGTGTATCTCGCGCAACAGGCGATCGGCGTGAATTTTGTTAGCGGTTATTTGACGGTTCGCACACAATGACAGCAATTTGACAGACACAAGAACTGACATGTCACTAGTATTACTTCCGTCTTGCCGGAGTCAACAACCCCTTGGCGATCGGCCAAGCCGCCTACGCGATCCAGTTTGTCGGTAACATGACATCATGGCCGCTGGTCGACAGATACGGACGACGTCCCTTGATCGTTGGCGGTGTCTGTACAATGACCGCTCTTCTGCTCCTTATCGGCGGCATCAGCACCATCGGCACTCAAACATCTCTGTCAGCGACAGTGGCTTTCATGGTGATCTGGGGATACTTGTACCAGGCGACGCTTGGCGCCGTTGCGTACTCTGTCGGCGGCGAAACTGCGAGGTAAGCTGCACGAATACCATGTTCCCATGTGTTGAAACTCGGGACCCAGAACCAGTCGAACGGTTTGACCCTGAAGCCCCAGTGTTGGCGAGACGGTGATGCCGGGACACCGGGTTGTGGGCCGCGACAGACCGGGGGCCCGTTCAAATTTGTAACAAGGACTGGCTTGCTAACGAGATTGCGAAAAAAACAGTGTGCAACTCCGTCAAAAAACCTACAGCATCAACATCATGTGCTCGACTGCGGCGTCTTGCCTGGTGCAGCAGGTGATGCCCTATTTGATTAACACGGATCAACTTAACCTGGGCGGGAAGGTCTGCTTCATCTTTTTCGGCCTGTCTCTGCCCATGTGCGTCTGGCTCTACTTCTACTTCCCCGAGATGAAGGGTCGCAATTACGCTGAAATCCAAGAGATGTTCAGCAACAACGTGCCGGCGCGCAAGTTCAAGACGTACGTGTGCGAAGTCAGCGCCGGGGGCCAGGCACAGGAGAAGAAGCTGCAAGAGGAGGAGGCATGAAGGGGCAACCGGTGGGGAGGCGGCAGCGAATGGTGTAATGTTTAATGAGTCGCTCAAAACCTGAAGGCCATAGGGCTCTTCTGATAAGAAGCTTAAATGAGCAAAACACCACCCGCGTTAATGAACACACGATGTCGCGTGCAGCCATTGGTGGACGGCCCCCATTTGAGCATTTCGGTTGGCTCTCTGTTGAGTGTTGCACGGAAATTGACAAGGGACTAATGCAGTGACGATGATTAGCGACGTTTTATGTTAAATAAACAACGCAGTGGGCCGGGATCATGATCGGAGATTAGTGTGATCCTGACGCCCTCACGCAAAAAACACTGAAGCTGTCGTGGACCGTCCACATTTTTCTTTTAAACCCCCGCGCTCCACGATGGCTGTGCATCTGGATCAGCACTTTTGGGGGCAGAATCCAACAACTGCAGTTGATCACTGAGACATTCGGCAACCTGAACGACGATCAACAGCGATCAGCAAACCAACACCGATTCACAATGGTTTCTCAACGGCTCTGGTGCCTTGGCGCCGCTCTTCTTGCTTCCTGCGTGCAAATTGTCAGCGCCGACATTCCTGAAAACGCCGTCGAACTCGATCTCGTCTTCCCTCGTGATGGCGGCAAGTACGGTATGACTTCCAAGGGCTACCCGGTCCTCCTCAACATCCAGAACCCCAACGTGGCCTACCATTACGGTTACGGCTTTGTCTGGGACATCTACTCGAGAAACAAGAACTCCTACCTTCGCACCGCTGCTCACGGCTCCCTTGGCGCCACCATCTTGAACGACACCGAGTTTGGTGACGGCCCGCACCTCGAGGTTGGCTACACCGGTCACCTCGCCGCGGGCGACTACACCTTCGCTTGGGTCTACGGCCTGGGCGCGCAGTGCGAGTTCACCGAGCAGCCTACCTACAGCGAGTTCAACCTGAACCCTCGTGTCGCCAACGGCAGCTTCGACTTCACCGTTGAGAGCGACGGCTCTGAGCCAACCTTCACCAAGACCTGCCCCACGGCCGTTGGCAGCATGAGCTACGCCTCTACAACGACTTACAACTCTGAGGCTACCAGCGTCTGCGGCGTCACCGCGACTCCCACATTCGACACCGATCCTTGCAAGGCTACCCTCAGCAATGAGCAGGCGACCAGCGTCTACAGCGAGTTGGGATACGCCGCTGCCACCGGATCTTCCAAGGGAGCTGCCGACTCCAAGAGGCCGTCAGCGTCTATCGCCTTGTTCGCTGGTCTTCTTGCTTCCGTCGCGGCCTTGGCATAGACGTAGAGACACAGCTTACTCGCGCATGTGGAAGAGGCGCGCCAACCATGCGACGAGCAGCATCCAGCTGAACAGCGACGGGCATCGCGACCTGCCCGATTCGCAGCCCTACGGCCAACACCTCCCTCGAGCGGGAGGGTGTCGAGTGGCGGAGCGAAGGCGACATATGCAAATAGCATCGATTGCGTCTTATCTTGCTGCTGTGCCGTCGTTAGCGTCACTGTCTTAAAGTTGCATCGCAGCATGCCAACCTTGTTTCTGCCCACAACTGCGCTCTTTTGCCCTATTGCAGAACGGCACAACTCCAAAAATAAGCCAGCGATCTGCACAACGTGGCTCGGCGCGGATCTGGGCCTCCGGTAGAGCCTCTGGATGGACAGAAGTGTTTGAAGAGGGGGGACGGGAAGAGAAACAAGAGTCACGAATCTGAGGGGTTTTGAGAGACAGAAGAACAAAAGATACCCAACCACCGTCGTCCGTGTACAGGGTTGGTTCGGTTCAGCCCCCATGGGCCCAGATCACTGCCATCTTTGGTAGCTGGAGTCGGCCTGCAGGGAGAACAGCCAATGACACAGGACGTCGGCTGACGTTAGCAATGAATACACAACCAACGATCCAACGGCATTCGTCGCTTTCTGTTCAGGCTCCGATATGTGACATGCATCTTGCATTCTGATGGTGACCTGTCAGCAGGCATCCCACTCCGTATCGGAGGGATGCCGTCGGCGTTGCCCAGGCTCCAAGAGTAAGACAAGCTTTCTAGGCAAACTGGTATTAGTTGAGGCTCCCCGGACTCCAGCCACCATGCAACTTGCCGTTTGATCGGATCATCCGTTGTTTGCTTTTCTGCCGGAAGCCGTTGACACATGCGACCAGGATCGCGACCAAGCGCAATGGCACAGCAGTACCGTCAACACTCGCACAATGCGAGCACGAGCTCTGAAGACACTATTTTTGTCAGCCAGCCAGACAGCCCGTTCATTCAGAGCCCCGACAAACGACAGAGCCTGGGATCCTACAAGGCCTATCAATCGCCCTACGTTTCTGTTCATCCTGAAGATGTACCTGGCAGCGAACCTGCTTTGAGTAGCACTGGCGAGTCGAGACGATCCACTCGCTGGAGCAGAATCTCAGAGAAGACACACATCAAGCCCGAGAAGTTTTCCAACTCAGGAACATGGACCTTTGAGATAGCCAGTCTTTGCGTCACCGTTCTCGCTGTTGCTGCCATCATCGGCGTGCTTGCTGCGTATGATGGTCGGCCCTTGGCATCATGGCGATTCCAAATCACCATCAACGCCGTAATTGCAATGCTCGCCACTGTCGCGACTGCAACCATTGCCGTTGTTCTCTCCAGCGGTATCAGTCAGCTTAAATGGATTCACTTCAAGACTCGTCGCGAACCTCTGTCTGACATGGAGGTTTTCGACGACGCAAGTCGAGGGACCTGGGGAGCCTTGATGATGCTCCTCAAGCTCCGCGGAGGGTAGGTCAACCCCGCCACATGTACAGTAACAACAAGACTGACATAACATTTGTTCAGATTTTTAGGATCATTCGGCGCTTTTGTTGCCATTCTCACCTTGGCATTCAGCCCGTTTGCACAGCAAATTGCTACTTTCCACGCTCGTACCACCGATTCCAACGAAGGCGCCACTAACCTGCGCTCTCGGCAGTACATGATTGCACTGAGCAGTCAAACTGCGTCGGAGGGATTCATCCCTATCCTGCCGTTCAAAGCTGCGGTCTACAACGGCCTCTTCGCTGAGAACGGCAAGCCGTGGTTGAGCCTTCCCGTCAACTGCCAGACTGGGAATTGCACTTGGGAACCATTCGAGACTCTGGGTGTGTGCAACACATGTATCGATCAGACAGAGTTCATGACCAGGTCCTGCGAAGACGGGTCGACAGAGGACATGACACAGTGTGGCTGGGCTCTGGATAATGGAGCCCGACTCAAGACTCACGCTGATGTTTTCAGCATGACACCTTTATTTCCCAGAGGCCTAGGAGATATGACCTACTCAACCATCATGAAGGTCGTATTCATGGGAACCGAGAAGCAGAATGGTACTGCCGGCGTTGTTGCACCTTGGGCGAGGCAGTGCACATTACAGGCTTGCGTCCAAACCCTCAAGTCTTCGATCAAGAATGGCGAGCTCAACGAGACAATCACCCATGTCCAGACTAACGACTCTGTTCCCACTGCTACGACCAATGACCTGGAGCCCATCTACATCAGTGGCGAGAGCGGTAATGAGACGTATCCCATTGACATGAAGGTCATGATGGGCATGCGCTCGTGGTTCTCAGTCCTTTTCCGCAATGGCTCGGCGTCGCGTAATGAGGAGGTTCTCAATCAGACCATCACCAGTCCTGACAAGGTGATCGTCAATCTCACTGTTGGTATCTCAAGCGGCGAGACGTTCTTCGATACCGACATTGTCCAGGCATTTTACTGGAACTACTACGAGTACCCAAGCGGCATCGACATGCTGATGAACGATCTCGCCACCAGCGTCACAGTCAGCTTCCGAAGTTTCGATCTCACCGCTGTCGCTGGACTGGCACATACCGTGGAAAGCTATATCCACGTCGAATGGAGTTTCCTCACGTTACCTCTGCTCACCGTCCTGCTAACAGCGGTCTTCTTGAGTGCTGCAATCTACCAGACCTGGCGTTGGAAGGCAAGTCTGTGGAAGAGCAGCGTTCTTGCGACACTGGTTCACGGACTAGACCGAAACGCGAGAGAGCGTCTTGAAGACTTGGGAGGCTTGCGGGAACAGCAGAAAGAGGCGAAGGTCGTTACGGTGCAGCTAGATGAAGGAGATGGTGGGCTTCTGAAGATGTCCAAATACGACGACATCTGAGTGCAAGCTTTCAAATAATGGATTGATACGAGATAGGCATGCAAAGACTAACTAATCCGTTCCTTACTATGATAATGTTAATGGTAATGACCGAAAGCGGTGGTTGGGATGGAGCTTGCGGGAGATGTCAAAAGGCTTTGTCGCATATATTCCCGAAACATGAAGCTTTGTTGAGAGCAGTCTTGTTTGAATCAAAGATAAAAAGTTGCTTGCATTTTTGACCTGTACCTGGTGTACCATGGTCGATACTATTTACATTCAAGAAAAACGCTCATCCGTTGTCATCCAAATCGATGACTTAGACGTACTCGGCGCACATCACGTCGCTACCCAGATCCATGACTTCGGCAATCGTGGCGTTAGGCATGATACCAACCATCCACAAGTTGTGGTTGAGGGTAGTTTCGTTGCCAGAGTCACCGTCATAGTCGAGGATGGAAGCGCTGGGGTACTCCATACCGTTTTGCTCGAGGTAGCTGTCCAGGGGAATGTTGCGGCCACCCATGTCGGTCAAGCGGGTAGTGAGGTTGGCCTGCTGCCACTCCCACCAGAGACGGTCCAAGTTTGTGTGGTGAAGAAAGAAGAGCGGGTCACCGGGGCTACCGACAACATCAAGCATCTGTCGGAACGGCGTCAGTTATCAATAAGCCAGTGAATGTGGGCAAGGTCAAGCTTACGGTGCCACCAACAGCAGAGTGGCCAGCGGTATGGGGGTTGACTTGGTAGCACTCGAACGCCGCGGTGTAGTTCTCGGAGGCGAAGCACTCGTCGATGTATTGTTGCTGGCCAGTCTGGAAGCCATTGGAGTTGAAGGAGCGAGTCAGGCAGTCGTTGGCGTAGTTGGAGGTGGAGT